TAATTGTCAATATCTGATAGAACAATATTAAAACAATTAAGCCAAAATTGTCAATATAGATTACAAATAGTACATTTGTATTTAAAATTTAGTTGTTAAAGTTTCGAGTCGAACTCGAGTCACGTCGAGCATTCTTATCTTTTTCACGAGACGAATCAAACAACATTTTACATGGCTCCCCGAGCTCAAGCTCGAGCAGTGAAGAAAAAAGTTCAATACGCGCTCGACAGATAGGGCTGCACACGAGTCGAGCGACTCGCGAGCCGTTCGTGATCACTCGAGTCAAAGCTCGACTTGAGCAGCTCGAGCACGAACTCGAGTCGAGTTCAAGCCTATATTTTACATTGTCGAGCGGCTCGCGAGCGGCTTGAAATATATGGTAAATTACTAAAATACCCCTTATATATAGATAATTTGACAAAACTGTTTGAAAATTTTTTAACTGAACTCGAGCCGAGCTCGAGCATTTTGAATTCGAGTCTCGAGCTATTGTATTTTCGTATCAAGTCTCGACGAGCTCAAAAAAAAAAAACATCAATCATGTTCGATAAGGCCAATGCTCGGCTCGGCTCGGCTCGTTTGCAGCCCTATCGACAAGGATTATGCCTGATTCGACTCGACTCATTTGCAATTCTAATTTAGGATGGACAATACAAGAATAACCATAATTAAAGCTGATGTGATATAAAAGTAAGGAGAAGTTATTAGAGTTATTAGAGATCGATATATAGTAAAATATATGTGAGAATGAATGGCAAACACACCGCGGATCAAATTTGATGTGATGTATATTGATGATTGATTGATATTATCGTTGTTTTATTTTCTAAATGGGTCAGGTGGGGTTTGTCCCGTTTAAACACAAAATAGTATATATTAGATAAAAATGAATTTTATAATAATTCTTACATAGTATCAGTGTCAGTTCTACGAGATACTGTGCGATTACGTACCCGTTTACTTAGCCCAGTTGAGCTTGGGTTACCCAGTCCAATTGGACTTGAGGTTCGTATGAATGACTCACAAGTGGTATTATATTATAATAATTTATAATACTCCATAATCATGCTACATATATAAATGAGTTGGCAAGAAAATGACATGTGACAAATTTAGGACATGCTTATTTATAAAATATTTTGCTCACAAAATATTTCTATTCAAAATCTAACTCAATTTTAACTCAATTCCACTATCTTTGATATTATTTATATAATTAAATAATATAAACCAATCATTTTTACATATCACATCAACTTTAATTCACTATTCATCTATTCACATAATTTTAACTACCAATCATTTTCAATCATTTATCTCTTACTTTTACATCAAGTCAATAATAATCATTTTATTTTAAATATTATTTTAATACATTATTAAAATTCTACTACCACATTTTTTAAATTTAACTCTAGTTAATCAAAATATTTAGCATGCCCTTAGAGCATCTCCAATGCTCAACTTTCAACATTAATTAAATTTGAACACATGTCAATCAATGGATTAATGTTTAATCTACATGAACTGAATGTTAAAAGAATAGGACTTTCACTTGAATTGTTAACTCCAATGCATCCATTCAACAACCATACAATTTGTATACGTGGATGTATTCATTTATTAATAAAGTAAAAGAGTATATTAAAAAAAACCACAAATTCCAATAATTATATGCATGATGTTATTTTTTGTTGATTCAGTTAATTTTAATTTATATAATCAAATCTATAAAATTATTATTTATTCAATAATTACTCGGTTACAATATGTATAATCATACAATAAATATTTTTTTAATCGATTCAAAATAAAACCACAAAATATTAAAATCGCAAGAACTCAACAAACAAATATCATGAACATAATATTTTACTTTTCAGGACAATATTATTGATATTTTTTTTTTTAAAAAAAAAATAGTTGTAACTCATCAAAAAATTTTATTGTATTCAAATAAATTCTCAAATTTTTTCTTGGATAAATATAAGGGTGAGATTTTTTCAAGTTTATGATAAGCTCAAAATTTGTGTCAAATAATTATCAAAATGGTGAGTCATCATGTTAGAAAGAATGTGTGAAATTAGAAAGTGAGCTTGACAGTATTAACATTAATTTTTTACACATAAGCATGAAAGGACCCATAATCTATGCATCAGAGGATAAATTATTCACACACTTTCTATCTAGATGAGACGGATAACTTTTTACTCTTTCAAAATAATGCATTAGAGATGCTCTTACTTTTACTAGACGGATCAGCGGCATAAACTCAGGGAATTAGGTAAGACCTTCTTTGTAGTGAGGTAATTTAAAAACGTCAAAACACAAAAAGGTATCCACAATGTTCCTCGGTCTCGGTCATATAAATCAGCGGACGACAAATTGCCCCGTTATTGTATTTATTTCGAATTTCTATGAGGTAATTAAAGAAACAAAAATCACTTTTCTTCCCTGGGCCCAATTTAGTATGGGCCCGTATTACTCGTTAGCTTGTAGCCCATAACTTCTGGATAATAAAAAGGCCTAGAAATTGCAATCTACATGTGTTAGTTTTAGTTTTTTTTTACTCAAATTGGCCCATGTTACTACTTTATAGGTCTACTGCTTGGTTCCGAGTAGAATGTTTATGTCGCGCTTATTAGTCAGCTGTTAAATAAGCGGCTCGGCTAAGATCGTTAGAATTTGAGCTTCAAAGCTCTGTCAGTTAACGAGTCGAGCTCGGCTTAATTCGATAAAGTTCGTTACGACTCAAAAAGATGTTCTTTATATATTTTTCTATAGTTCGGATCAATATTGACTCGTCAATATTGATAAATAAACTGAGCTCGAACTCGATTGAAAGCTCGTTAAGTTAACAAGTCGAGCCGAGCTCGACTCGTTAAGGGCTCGAGCTCACTTGTTTACACCCCTACGCTCCAAAACGTATAGATGGACTTTCAATCACATTGCTTCAGCTATGACAGATATATATTGTCGGTGGTTGTAAATTAAATTTTCATTATTTGATCTCTCTCTTGCTGTGAAACTACAAGAATATATGATACATAATATGAAGCCATCAAAAGAAAAATCAGTGCAGGATGAAATTGCACATGATATAATGTAAAGAAAATATATAGAGAGGTGATCACAATAATTAGGAAATCATTGAGATGGAAAACTTTACAGCAAGTTAAAACTAAAGTAGATATAATATTTATATCAACAATTACATAAAAAAAAATGGAGTGTATAGTAAATTTATCTTTTCTGTTGGCCAGGTCGATAATAGATTATATCAGGTGCAATGGATACATCTTTATAACAAATGTCTGGTGATTGCCAACAAACAAAGGTCACCTAAAATAACCATTATTAGGAATATTGGACTCGCTTCATTGCACGTGAAAACTGATATGGATTGTGATGCATCATAATTTATCTATTTATTTATATTTTAGGAGTTATTACTAGAGAAAAGGATAATAGTTGATTCTTGATAGGTGGCCCATGCCATTGTATATACATTCGGGTCAAGAATGCTCAAAGTTATACCACAAAAAATTATATCACGTTGTCAATTTTATACTTTTGTTTATGTAAATTCTTAAATATATCACTAATAGAGTATAACTACTTTTACGATTAATTTTGCCTAACAAATATATTTGTGTTTTATGCTAATAGCCTAATATTTTCCAACACTTTTAGGCCTTTGTTTTTGTGAGGATTTTTTCTGGTTTAATTAATTTTTTCCACTATTTTATTTTTTAATCATTATTGATGAATTGTAAAGTTAATATTGGAAGATGACTTGATTGGTGTCTACAAGCAAGGTATTTGGCCAAATGTGTGTGAATTCATTTGGCACGCATGGTCAAAGGTAAGAAAATTACTATATGAGTTACATTTTTCTAAAAAGAGTGGATGACAACTAAAATTTCATTTTAATCTTTGAAAAATCGCCCTCACACTTAAATAAATACTTGTGTTATAATATATATATATATATAGTGCTATTAGTCTATAACATAACATGGTGTTGTAAGTCTACAACACATAGTCCAACATTCAACATAACCAAATAAAGTATTATCTGATGAACAAATTATAAAAAGTTAATTCGCAAACTACTTTCTTTTTAATAATATAAATTATTAATGGAAGTGCCATTCATTTTGTTGTATCCAACAGTTAATTAATTTCCATAATATGTTGCCATGTTGGTAGTTATTGAGTTGAGTTGTCAATAGAATTATTGAAGTTCAACTGAATAATAATGAGGAACAACACTCATTCCTCTATCATTTGAATTCGAGATGTTTTTCATTCAATTCATTTACTTGTCTCCGAATTTATAATCTTTATATTCTTATTACTATATCTGTTGTTTTGAAGAGGGAAAAGCAAGCAATGCGTGATAAATCCAAACATAATAATGAAGAAAACGCAAAAAATAACACTAACAAAAGACAAAACAAGAAAAACTGAACCGGGTAATGTATAAACTGCATTTGACAAAATACAAACTAAAATAATATGTATATGCACATTTCCTTCTTTATACCTTCCTTACACAGTACTCTTATGTGTCTCAATTCATAAATATTCTTATTACTAATAATAAGATCTCCACTAACTCTAATCTATAAACATTATTAAGCAATTTATGATAAAACTGTTGTTAAATAGACTAATAATGGATAAACGTTTTTTCAATGGATGTACATACTTTCAAAATAAAATTGTCATACTCCAAAAAAACGATATAAATAAAAGTATAACATTTTATAGAAAAAGTACATATTTTTGTTAAATAAGTATGACGAGTAGATTCACCTCACGGTAACTCCAAGTATGGTGATTTTGACCTACTTAATCGTATGCAAATCATTGAAGTTGAATGTAATGTAATGATTTAATGATATTTATTTTTGTTAATTTTGCAAAATAATAATGACTTAAAAGTAGATTAAAATGGCAAAGGCCAATGATTAAATGGCATAACCACTCCGTGCCCCATTGTCCGGTACTTTGCTACAGGTGATGCTCAAAATCCCCAAATTACCCCTCAACGACAGCCGGGCCTCAGTGGCATATGCGTCATTTCTGTTCAGGAGTACAAAAGATTTTCTCATCGTCCTCCTTCCTCTTTCACTGGTTTATTTAGAGGTTTTATCATATAAAGTTATAAACCACCAAACTGAAAAAATTTATTCTCCCACCCAATATAAATCCGGCCAGCTCTCCTTCAGATCTCCGCCCGCGGTGATAGAATCGGGAAATGAGGGAGCCGGATAACGACACCCATGCGCCGCCGCAGTCTCTGCTCGAGAGGCTCAAGGATTACGGCCAGGAAGACGCCTTTGCCCTCTGGGAGGAGCTCTCCCCTGAAGAACGCGACATTCTCATTAAGGACCTGGAGGTCAGTTCACACTTCGATTTGTACCTCCTCCGTTTTACTTGCGTGTGTGTTTTCAATTCTTGGAAATTCAGTACTTTGAGATTGGAAATATATGCATGCTTATGATGTGTGTTTTACCCTATCATAAAAACTAAGTGTTCGAAATCAATCTGAAATTTAGTTTGGATTTTGTGTTGAGAAGTCAAGATTGGACCTTTTTTCAAGATGGAATCTTTCAGTGTGTATGTTTAGCTAATGAGCTTGGTCCGTGATGTTATTGTTTCTCGATGATCATTTGTAGTATATATTTGCTAATCCTGAAATCGATAAGTATGAGTACTTGCTAGTTTTGTCCAGTCATTTTTATAGTTAACTTTCTAGATTTATTATTTGTATAGTTGTGCAACTAATTGATCGTTTGATCGTGTTTCTTTACTTTCTGAATTGCAGAGCTTAGATCTCTCGAGAGTTGATCGGATTATTCGTTGCTCGTTTCGCTCTCAAGGTTCACTTGTTATTACTGCTTTGTATCTTGCTCATGCAAATAAAATTGTTTCTGTACAATGTGTGTATTAAAAAAAAATAAATACATGTGATTAATTAGGGCTACCGGTAGCCACGATAGAGCCGATCCCGGAGAGCAATGTTTCAACTGTAGAAAAGCGAACAATGGAAGAAAGGGAGAGGTGGTGGAAAATGGGAATGAAGGCCATCTCAGATGGAAAGTTGGGTGTGCTACTTTTGTCCGGTGGACAGGTCTGTTAATCTTGAAGCCTTCATTCATCCCTAAGAATAGCTATTTTCTTTTTGCTTTTTTTTTTTTGGTTACGTTTGGAATATGCGGCAGCAAACTTGAAGGAAGTTACATGTGGGGTCCTTTTTAATGGTTAACAAATGAAATTGATGGTCTTTTAGGTAGCAAAGTTAGGTGAGATCATAATTCTTTTATGACGTGGACCACAATATCCGATGATGGCGAATTTATGACTTATTGGTGGGAAGGAAAAGGAAACTATGCTTTTTATTACCTTTACGGATTGATGTCGAATCTAGTATGTGTAATCCATTCGTGAAAATGCAATGAAGATAAGTATTTGTTCTGAAATATTTTAGTCTTGAAACTTTGTATAAGTATGCGGACGTGTGTCCTATCTCAGAATAATGCTGTAGAAATGTTTTGAACTCGGCAATAGGACATAACATAAATTTGTTTTGGATTATGACCTGCAGTTTGTTTCGATAGAATTACTTGATTATCAAGATGTGAAATGTGATATATTGTTGGATTCTGGAACAAAAACAATATGTTACTGTATTTAGGGACATGCACATTGATCATACTTTATGTATAATAGCATATTCACATGTACGGTTATTCTATCTGGAATATTGTGGTATATAAATGATTCCCTGACATGTCGCTACCTATTAAGATTTAGTTGGTTAAGTAGTACATAAATTTTCCTCATTGTGATTTTGAATCTTTTGAATGCAGGGAACTCGTCTTGGGAGTTCAGACCCAAAAGGCTGTTTCAGTAAGTAAAGTTTATTTTTCTTATTCGGAGAAAATATACTGAATTCACACTTGATGGGGGGAATTTTATTTTTCTTTTAAGACATGCTTTTGTAAGATTATATTCACTTTTTATAAGGCAATATTTTTTCTTTGACGACAACATTTTTGTCCTTGAATATGAACTCTTTTTTTTTACCTTGTTTCTATCCTATTGTTAGACATCGGACTTCCATCTGGAAAATCACTTTTCCAACTTCAAGCTGAGCGAATTTTGTGCCTTCAACGGTTGGCAGCTCAATCTGTGAATGAGGGTAAGTATCATCTTCCATTTTGTGGAGTATCCTCTTCTGTTCAACAGCCCTGATCACTTTATTTCATTGCATGCATGCAGCTTCTGTTAGTATCACACCAATTCATTGGTACATAATGACTAGTCCATTTACTGATGAACCCACACGGAAATTCTTTGAAAGACGCAAATATTTTGGCCTTGAAGAAGATCAAGTGAGATTCTTTGTACTGTTTTGGTCTGATATCTTGATCTTAAAACATCAATGGCACTCATGGAAATTTTGAATGGAATACAGGTCACATTCTTCCAGCAAGGCACTATACCATGTGTATCAAGAGATGGTAGATTTATAATGGAAACTCCTTACAGGGTAGGGATTTTCTTGTCAACTTTATTTATGTGGTTATCTCTCATCAATTCCACATATGGATTTTACTTGCTGTTTAACCATACTTTTGAAACAAATAAAATGTCAATCTAAAAATTTTCATGATTTTTGTTTTATGTTCGGTCTTGTTATTTTTAAATCACTTCTGCAGCTTTTTTCTGTATCTAGTTATAATTGCCTAACATTCTAAAGCCAGGTAGCAAAGTCACCTGATGGAAATGGAGGAGTTTATTCAGGTAAAACACAATTAACTACGTATGCATCCAATGGTATATGTTATAGTTACAACCTTCCTTAAGACAGTATTTTGTGAATTATTGCAGCTTTGAAAACATCAAGGTTATTGGAAGATATGGCTATGAGAGGCATAAAATACTTGGACTGCTATGGAGTTGACAATGCTCTAGTGAGTTACTTCTTATCCTCTCTGTTTTGCTTTTATGTTTTTGTTTTTATTTATCTTGAGATAAAATTTATTGTAAAAAGGTACGAGTGGGAGATCCAACTTTTTTGGGCTATTTCATTGATAAAGGTGTACCCGCAGCTGCTAAAGTTGTTCGGAAGGTAAGTAAAGACTTTTCCAAGAAAACAGGACATGTTATGACGTTATTCATCATAATTTACTGTTTACTTCTCTATTTACGGAACTATAGGCATACCCACAAGAGCAGGTTGGTGTATTTGTTCAACGAGGTAAAGGTGGGCCGATCTCTGTAGTTGAGTACAGTGAATTGGACTCATCACTTGCAAGTGCAATTAATCAAGAAACTGGCCGCCTTCGATTTTGTTGGAGTAATGTATTGTCCTCACCCTAATTAATTTCGCTTGCTGTTTTTGCCGAGTTCATTTCTTTTTTTCCTATTCTGTTCTATTTCTTGAAAATGTTGAGCTCTACATTTTGTGTTTGGAGTATGGACATCATTCCAAATACTTTATCAACGCGTCAAAAAGTTATTTGGAGCTTTAAAGAAGTGTACTTGGAAATAATGTATTGGGAATTTCTTGAAATTTTTTATTATGCCTTTGATCATTTTAGGTTTGCCTGCACATGTTCACTTTAGATTTTCTGAACCAAGTCGCAAATGGCCTTGAGAAAGACAGCATGTCAGTCTCTCCCTCTCGCTCTCTCTCTCTCTCTCTCTCACACACACACACACACACGCACACACGGGGATGACATTTGCATTATTTATTTCTGCAGCTATCATCTTGCAGAGAAGAATATTCCTTCAATCCATGGACACACAGTAGGATTCAAATTGGAACAATTTATATTCGATGCCTTTCCTTATGCTCCATCAACCGCACTATTTGAGGTTATCTCCATAAATAACAGCCAACGCGAAACCAAAAAAAAGCGTTTACTCAAATAAAGACTTCAACTTTCTTGTTTCTATAGGTGCTGCGTGAAGAAGAATTCGCACCCGTGAAAAATACGAACGGGTCAAATTTTGACACTCCTGATAGTGCCCGTTTGCTTGTCCTTCGCCTGCACGCTCGTTGGGTGGTTGCTGCCGGAGGCTTCTTGACTCACTCTGTGCCCTTATATGCTACCGGTAGTTTTTCTGTTTCCCAAAAAAAATAAAAAATAAAAAAGAAAAGAAACTTTCATTAGAAATAAATGTTCAACCGAATAAATGGGTTTCGTTTTGCGGTTTTGAATCATTAGGTTTGGAAGTTTCGCCTCTTTGCTCGTATGCTGGGGAGAATCTGGAGGCCATCTGCCGAGGAAGAACATTTCATGCTCCATGTGAAATTGCGTTTTAGGATGTTTTTCTTTAAAACAGATCTTTTATTTATCTGATTTAGAAACTTGTCGTCTTTTCTATTTTCTTGTTTTTTTTTTTTGTTCTTGATTTTGGTTCATTTGAGGCTCTGTACATTGTGTTTGAGGATGAAATTGGGATGATTGTTGTGTACTCTGCTTGTAAAGATATGTGACTCTCACAGTTTAAGATTTTTGTGTCAAAAACACAGACTTTTGTTTGGTTTTTAATGATGAAGGTGCATTTTTTCATTTTTTGCAGCAAATAAGCTTTACTGTGCACGCCCTTAAGGGGAAACTGTAACGTCCGCAATTTCATGTCACAAAAATAAATAAAGAAATAATAATAAAAAATATTAATGTGATAAATGCAATACGATTTTTTTACTTAAAAAAAAAAAATAAAAAATGAAGTGGACAAGAACAAAACAAAAAAAAATCTTGTGGAAATAAATAAAAAGCACGTNAAAATGCCTCTTTTTTTTTACTCCTACTTTTTGTTCTCTTCTGTAAGTGAAAATTTTGGACGGTGTCTATCCATGTTGTTCTCCTTTCTAACAAAGAAGTAAGAGATCTTATGATTTGCAGAAATTTGTGTATGATTGGCCTAGCCTTTGAGTTGATCCATTCATATATTTATAATAGAAATACATGGCATCATAGTTTTAATTACGTTGTTTTTTAAAATATAAGATTATAGTATTAATTACTGTTGTATTTTAAAATATAAGATTTTAATTTGAAAGCATGAATATTTGTCGGAAATATTAAATTATAATTTAAAAGTATGTATATTTATAAAAAAGTAAAATTATTTAACTGTTAGTTGAAGATATACATATTTATCGAAACAATATAATTAAAAATATACATATTTTTAGAAAGGAAATATAATTTTTAGACTAATTAACTTCAATTTCTTTTAAATTTTAAGTTTTAGTTTTGATACATAGCAAATGTAAATATACATCTATGTAACAATTCTGTGCGTTGTCCTTCAGATTTATCCGTGTCTGGAAAACCCCAATTAGGGTTTATCTCCTCTCTCTATCTACCAAAGTTACAAAATCTTCATCTTCTCTTCTCCCGATCTCCGCTTGTACGCCACCAAATACAGTGATTGATAACCATTCCGCGCTTCGCCTAATCTAGGGATTTTACTCAAATCCGCAGATATCTCTGTTATACCTGCTGCTGCATTTCTATTCCTCTCAGGTTAGTGAGTTTTGAATGAAAATGGAATATGATCTTGCGCATAGCTCTCGTACGTTTGTGTAAATATGTTGCAACTTTGAAGCTCAATCTGTTTGATGCAATTATTTGCGCCCCCTTTTCATCTCATCGCGATATTCATGTGAATGAATTTGTGTAAAAATTTTGCGACATAGAAACTCATACTGTTTGATGCAAATATTTTCTCCCCTTTTGCAGCTCATCAAGATTTTTTCTATGGCTGAATCGTTTATTTTTTTTTTCTTTCCTTTCGTTTGCTGCTTCACATTGTTCAGGCACATCTTCTCTTACTCAAAAAGTTCGCAACGTTTTTCTCCCACAGGTTCTTTATGGCCATAGATTCATAAGTGAACTCAATATATCAAGCTACTCTTTTCAAAAAACTCACAATGAGCTTCATTTCAAGACTGAGTCATCAGCTAATATATGGTTCCTTCAGGCGGCAGCATATCTCTTCACTCTCCTCTCCCAAGCCAATGGGTTTGATGATCAGGCACTTTTCTCAGCCTGCACCGTTAGACGACGAGGATGAAGAAATCGAGATCGACCAAAAACGGCTCCCGACAGATTACGACCCGTCCAACTTCGACCCCACAGAGCATCGCAGCCCGCCTTCCCAACGGGTTTGGAAGCTCGTGGATGAGATATCTGGGCTCACGCTAATCGAGGCAGCTGAGCTGTCATCGATCATGATGAGGAAGCTGATGATGAAGGAAATGCCCGTTATAGGCATCATGAAGCCAGGGTCTGTGGGGCCCACAGCCGCCGGGGCTGGGCCCACGGCCGCCAAGGAGGAGAAGAAACCTGAGAAGACAGCGTTTGAGCTAAAAATGGAGTCTTTTGACGCGGGATCTAAGCTCAAGGTGATTAAGGAGATTCGAAGCTTTACTGAACTTGGTCTGAAGGAGGCTAAGGACTTGGTGGAGAAGACGCCAGCTGTTATCAAGAAGGGGGTCTCGAAGGAGGAGGCGGAGAAAATTATCGAGAAAATGAAGGCAGTCGGGGCAAATGTTGTTATGGAATGATTTTTTTTATTTTTTATTTTTCTTGGTAGTTTCGTGTTTCTTGGCAAACTTTTTCTTGGTTTTGTGTTTACCAAATGGGAGAATGGGTTTAGTTTCGTGTTTTTCTTTTTATCTAGATGGAGCTTTTTTCTTTTATCTGAGCTTGTGAACTGGAATTGAAGAGGATGTGCTCGTCTGAGTAATGCAGTGATTTGTGTTGGCATTCATTTCGTTAGCTTTATATCTTGCTGCCCTGTTTTTCACGCTTCACTATTTTTATCATATACACAAGTATGCAAAAAGTTGTTTGTTGTATTAACTATTGTTTGCATCTATATTGTGCTTATGTAATTTGGCGCCACGAGTTCTCTTCATAACATTCAGTATGTTTAAACTTGGAATTCGGTCGAAGGATCTTAGCATTTGTGCACGGCTTGTTTAGCAAAATTCTGTATTCTTATACATGTTTTGCTTGTTGAAAACGAGACCCAGCCTTCATTTTCGTTCGGTATAAAGTAACAAGAAATCTTTTTCCTCTGACACATATGTACTTTTTGATATTCGAAGATATAAATAATGTATCCTTTTCTTTTAGCACTACAAAGTCTCTTCACAACCAAAATTATGCCTTCACAAGGTGTTACATGCAGGTGTACAACATAAAAAGCTACTAAATGTATATCAATCACTAAATTCCTGTACAAGAACAATCGAGTCTGATTACACGCGTATTACAAAACTTACAAACCAACGCTTCAAGTAAAAAGTGGACTAGAAAATGCTTCCGTTTAACAGAACACTGAATAAGATGTTGCTAGAGCTGGAATGCTCAAATTCTGCTGTTCATATAATTAACACAAAAATTTCAGTCCATTAGAAACAGTACTGGGTTACAATTATGCTGAAATTAAATTTTTTTGGTCTTCCAACTAAACTTACCTCCTTCAAGTGTACCAATGTTATCATTCAAGGGAGATAGGAACAGAATTATTAATCTCTTCACATTTTCTCAAAGTCTTCTCCAGGGCAATAGAAACCATGTCATATGTCTCTTGGCATAACGAACCTTCATCAACTAAATCACGAGCAAAACGGCATAGCTCATAGTATCGTTGACTTTTCGACTCAATACAATCTCCTTGCTGTGTTAACTCTTTATCTTTCGCATCCTTTGTCCACCGTCTCAAAATATACTTTTCTGGGATACTATTCACGCCGGAAATTTGAAGAACAATTAACACGTGCCGGCAAAGGAAGCCCTCGAACACGAACAAGCGGCACGTACAAGACGCATCGTATGTCTTTTCATCCCAATTCACTGCGTATACTCGATTTTTTTCGAAATCTTGAACCTCGAAAAATGAGATTGAGCCATCTTTGCTTTCTATTTTCGGGTGACAAGCAACAGCACCCAAAACCTCAATCTCGAATTTCTTGAATACAGCATTGGTGTATATAGCCGCCATTTGTGTCCCGTAAGGAGATGGCGATTTAAGACACGGCTGCTTGTGCCATGTGTCGAAATCTGCTTTTGTTTCATCTTCGTATTTCTCCTGTAACTTTATATTGAAATGGTGCAGAAAATCTTTTAAAGTAGTATTACGCTGCAAGCATTTATCTAAACGAGCTGAGGATAACCCCATGAAAAATATATCTTTCGTAAATGTCGGGACCCATCTCCGGCGGTCAATATACAAGGATTCGATCCACTCGTCAGAACTCAAGTCAAATCTGTCCACCAACTTCAACCATCTTTTTTCAAATTGTGCTTCGGTTTGTGACTTCTGAATGCATTTATCGAACTTATTCATGAAGTTCTCGTTCTGCCTTATCACATACTGAAGCCTTTCTTGAATTTTACTCAGTATGTGTGGCAAACAAAAGCAATGGCGAGAAATGGAAAGAACTTCAGCTATGGCTTCTTTCAGATTACGGTCTTCATCAGTCAACACCACTTGTGGGGCTCGGTTATGCATTGACCTAAGCCAAGCATGCAGCACCCAAGCGTACGTGGATTTACTCTCATCACAAACAAATGCACATCCGAGCAAAACGGACTGAAAGTGACTGTTCATGCCGATAAAGGGAACAAACGGCAATCTAAACCCATTCTTTACACACGCCGTGTCAATCAAAACCACATCAGAAAAGTTTCTGTAGTCGATCCTGCCTTTCGCGTGAACCCAAAAAACATTTCGAAGAATCTGTTCGCTATTCAAATCAACCGCATAGAAAAAGAAGGGATTCTCATTTTGCATAAAAGAGAAATAATCGAGCAATGCCTGCAAATCCCCATCACGAAAACCCAAATGCAGCCCAATAGAGCTACAAAAACTGCTCTCTTTACGCCGAAAGGTTTTCATACTTCTTTTACCCGTCTCATCAGGTACAAGATCATGATTATGCTCCCTCACAAAACTACTAATAGTCCATTTCTCATCCTCCCTTCTCTTCACGTGCATACAAGCCTTACAATCAGTTTTCGCCCAGGATCGGTTTATTCTGCCTCGCCTTTTCTTCATAGGGACACTCGAGGCAGCTTCTTTTGGTTCTGTATTCTGAGACGAGCTGGTACCATACATGGCGCAGACGAATTTGGCGTCGATGAACTTGCCGGAAATCCTCGACCGGCGGCTGGTCTTTATGATGGCGGAAAACCCAACAGAGGCAGCGAAATTTTTGTAAAACTTGAAAGCTTCCTCTTTGGATTCAAATTCCATGGCTTCATCAACTTCAAAAGTTGCTGCTTTGTGACCATTGGTTGATTCGATTCCATTAACGTCCGTTAACAAGTCACTGTCTTTGTGGTTTTCAGCTGATGGGTACTCAAAATCGATTCTCATTAGGCCAAATCGAAAAGAGGAAAGAAACAAGAACGCTCTATTTCTTTTCGGAAAATTTATCAGCCGCAAGCCTGTAGAAGAACCAGAAGAACGAACCCTACTTTTGATCAACTGAGAATTTAACGGCCAAGTTACCAATTTTTTGTGCTCGACATTCGATTATAAGCGCTGCCTGAGGATTATTACTACCTCAGAATTCTCATCATAGTTCAAAAGGCAGAGTAAAAATAGCAAAAGAAAACAGCTGAAATGAATTGAAAATCACTCACAGTTTGGAGGTGGCGGTGGTCGACGTCGCGATTTTGGGGGAGAGTGATCGGAGTTCATTAGTGACGAACTGTACTCGAAGTTGTAGTCGCGGGTCATTCGGGTTTGGATTCTGGGTCGGTAGCTTGTTAAATTGATTGCCTATGGCCCGATTATCACTTTAGAGGTCCACATTTAACATAGCCCAACATGTTTATAATAGTACAATAATATTGTATTCAAAATATAACTATACATAAGCCCATCATAAGTGTAAATTAAAAAATAATATAATTTTAAAACCTATGACAAAAATAAACCACAATTCAATCACGTAAACAATAAAAGTTAGCCTATTTATAAATATAAATACTTCGTAATATATGTAAATAAAATGATATTTGTAGGTGAATGGAGAAATTTATTCTTACATATTTTCTAATTAACATTTTATGACGTAGACTTGATAATTATTGAGTCAGACATACACCAAAAATCGATTAGTCAATTGTCAATTAAAATCGTAGAAGAAAACAAACAGTCATAATTGTTTATTATAGTTTTTTTATATTAAGATCTGAACTTGAGCTGCAATTCCTCGTCATATCTGCTTAGCCGTTTTGTGTTCTGAATTGGAATTCTCAGATTTGAGAGTTTGGTGTGCGGACTTGATTTGTCCTTGGAATGGGTGAATAGTTAGTGTGTTGAATTGTGATAGTTGGCTATGTTGGTTTCCCATATTCACAAGTGATTGTCGAGGCTCAAAGGTTAGTGTGTTGAATTGTGACCGATGGCTTTGTTGAGGCTCAAGAGTTAGCGTGTTGGATTGTGATCAAGAGCTCTATTGATTTCCTCTATCTGGAAGGGTTAATATGATGATTTTCCCTATTTTTAAGTGACTGTCGAGGCTTAAAGGTTAGTGTGTTGGATTGTGATCGATGGCTCTATTGTTTTCCTCTATTTGTAAGTGATTCTCGAACATCAAGGTCTGATGGGTCTATTGATTTCCCCTACTTGCAAGTGATTGTCGAACCTCAAGATCTGTGGTGTGGTGGCAAGGTCTGATGGGTCTATTAATTTCCTATTTTTAAGTGATTGTCGAGGCTTAAAGGTTAGTGTGTTGGATTGTGATCGATGGCTCTATTGTTTTCCTCTATTTGTAAGTGATTCTCGAACATCAAGGTCTGATGGGTTTATTGATTTCCCCTACTTGCAAGTGATTGTCGAACCTCAAGATCTGTGGTGTGGTGGCAAGGTCTGATGGGTCTATTAATTTCCCCTACTTGCAAGTGATTGTCGAACCTCAAGGTCTATGGTGTGGTGACAGTAGCATTAACAACAACAATAATAATTTTAATAATAATTTTTTCTAAAAGACTTTATTCTATTTATTTTGTGTTTTTGTTATAAAACTATAGAGAAAGAGAGAGAATAGAGAAAATGTATTCTCTTAGGTACGATTTTCATTATAACTGAAGCTCTTATTTATAGGAAAACTTCTGATGGCACAATCATAATAATACAATTACATCAGGGGCAAAATAGTCATTCATATATATATATATATATATATTTAATCACCTCGTGATGCATGCACATATATATTATAACACTCCCCCTTGAATGACTATTTTCTAAATATCATTATTCGAACAAAACATAATATGAACATCTTGAAGTGTCTCTTGTGGCCATCAAGTATCGCTGCTTCATTATGTCAGGAAAAACTCAGTGGGACAAAACCTGATCATATTGGAATCACAACATTACTTCCTCAGGAAAACCCGTTGGGATAAAATCTGAGCATTGTGGAGTATAACATTACTGCCCTTCAAATGGATCATCTTTAGTGGAGTATCCACTTGGTCATAACACTCCTCCTTGGAATTACCATTATTAACTGTGCGTTTGTGCTGCCTCGTTAAAAACCTT